CGCTCCGATCCGCCAGCGCTGACTGGCGGAACGGACGGGGGAGGGGGCGGGTACAGCTGGCTCTGCCTCTAGATAGGCAGAGCCAGCTGTCACTCACGCAGCTGGGCGAATCTCGACATCGATGTCGGGATCCGCTCCGGCTGCGGCGCCTCAGTATACCGCGAGCTGTAGCTCCCTATATACAGAGCCTAGGATGACGGGAGGACGCTAGTTTGTGTCCTCCCATTACCCTAAGGAGAACTATGGGGAAAAGCCCTGACCCCATAGTTCTCCTTTAAATATCTAAGAATCAGCAATGTTTGAAACACATGAAGGTATCACCACACCTAAATGTTTTTTGGTCACTATATTCAACTTAACTTCACATGCCCTTTACATACATACACAATTATTTAGGGTCTGGTCAGGGATGTCAAGGTTTGTCTTATAGCTGCATTAGAGCTATAAGAGATGCAAGCTTAATGTAAGGAGAGTCATAATAGTTCCATTGTGTCTAGAAACAGGCCAGTTCCTATCAAGTTTTGGCTTTAGAATCAAATACAGTCCTAGATATCCTGCCACTAAACACACAATGCAATCCTGTCATCACTAATGATTGAAACACTATGGTATCACCACACCATTACTAGGGTCTGGTCAGGGATGTCAAGGTTTGTCTTATAGCTGCATTGATATCTTGGTTTCTCAGGGTATAAATAAAGGGGTTCACCAGAGGGGTGATCACCGTATAAAGCAGAGAAAAAACTTTGTTCATTATCACAAAACGACTAGGTGAAACCACATAGACCATAATCATGGTGGCATAGTATGTAGAGACGACTCCCAGGTGGGAACTGCAGGTGGAGAAAGCTTTCTCTTTCCCCTTGGATGATGAGATCCTGTTGATGGCTCTGATGATGAACACGTAAGTAGCTATGATTGCAAGGAGAGGCACCATAGTGGCTGCAGATGAAAGGGAAGACACAACCATTTCCACGCTGGACGTGTCAGAACAAGACAGCTTCAGTATTGGAATAACATCACAATAGAAATGGTCAATAATATTGTCTCTACAAAAATCTAATGTTGTCACAAATCCTAAAGCAATGGACATGAGCAGGGTTGACAAAGCCCAGCAGACCAGGATCAGACATATACACAACCCAGGGCCCATAATCAGTCTGTAATGAAGAGGTTTGCAGATCGCCAAAAACCTATCGTAAGACATTGCCGAGAGGAGGAAACTTTCTGTGACTAGAAACACACCAAATAGGAAGAACTGTGTGAAACAGCCAATCAGAGAAAAGTATGTGCCGTTTCTGAGTAAAATATGGAGCATGGGAGGAACGATGTTGCTTGTAAGCAAGATCTCTGCTATTGACAGATTGGAGAGGAGAACATACATCGGAGAACGTGATAGTTTAGAGAAGAACACCAACAAGATGATCAAAAAATTGCAAGAAAAAGTCAGGGCGTAGGTGACCATGAAGAAGCAGAAGAGGACGAATCTATAGCTTTGGTGGATCCTCAACCCAACAATAAAGACATTATCAATCGATGACTTGTTGTGTATTTCCAGCAGTGGTCGGGGAATAAATTCTTCCATGTCTTCCATACAGAAGAAACACATTATAAGTACATTGATTTGACAGTTTTGAAGCATATCTTTCTGTGTGACTCAAATGGTCTGAGTTGGGAAAAAGAGGTTGTTCCAAACTTTACATGGTTGATACCAAACACAATGAAGATTATTTACCAAACAAACGTCAGTCATAAAGGAGTCAAGATTCACTTCAATTATCCAATCATATGGACGCAATTCCGGCTGATTTTTTTCATTTGCACATAACTGGATAAATGATGTGAACCTTCACTCTTTAGTTTGACTCGAGATTCTCAACTCCTTCAGTAGATCATCCTTAGTATATTCTGTGATACCCGGTCTTAAGCTGGCCATACACCTTACAACCCTCGCAAGACTTTCGTATGATCTGCCCATCTTGGACAGGCAGATCGTACTTGCGATGATTGCAAGCCCACACCGATGAGGGGCGGGCTTCCGTTGACTGCAATGCTGAACAGGCACTGTGCGCTTGTGCACAACCGGCCCGTGCAGCATTTGCCTTACGAGCAGGCCACAAACCAGCGATTGTACGATTTTCAGCTGGTTTTCAATCCTTTAGTAAGACTAAAGATGTGCGACCTAACTGTAGAAACGGTTGCACGCCTTCCACACACCTGCCGTTTATCGTACGATCGCGGGATCACCTTTAGAGTCTCATTTACTGAATTGTGAAGTGAGCTAAAATTAGGTAAATTAAACTTGGCACCAAACTCAGGAGTTACTGTCAATCTTAAAAATGAATGCAAGTACAATGTATCTTATTTGTGTATCACTCGGCTGTAGATCATCTCTGAATTGGTGCTGACACTGTCCTTCCTTCTGGAGGGGGCTACGTCTGTTCCCCATAGTCCCTGTGTGTGCTGTAAAGTAGTCACCGCTCCAAGCTCCGCCCCCCCGGGATGGACTACAATCTCAATACAAATTAGTAAACTAAACCTGAGATTATAGTCCACCCCGGGAGCGAGCTTGGAGCGGTGACTACTTTACAGCACACACAGGGACCATGGGGAACAGACGTAGCCCCCCTCCAGAAGGAAGGACAGTGTCAGAACCCACTCAGAGATGATTGGAGGATCTACAGCCGAGTGATACACAAATCAGATACATTGTTGTTCAGAGTTAGAGTTTAGTGTCACTTTAACGAGAACCTGAGCTTACTTTTCTGTAGTGTGAGCTAAAATAATCGGCATCCACTTTAAATAATGATTTGTAGGAAAATGTGAAAACAGAAAAGCTTCTCACATGCCTCAGAATTCTGTATGGCAAAGGTCTGTCTGCAACTACTGTCTGATAAAGTTGAACAATTGTGCAAATGTCAGCACCAATAAAGTTATACATGGGGCTCCAGAATGATATTAAATCAGTGAGGTGGCTGAATACCTTTTAACAACACAACATGGTCTTCACTGGTTGAATACCAATTCTGTAATACTGTATACAGTGGGGCGTCTGAAGCAGATTTATGAGTGTATAAGTGATGAGAATTTACTTGATGCACCATTTGGTACTGTTCATATATTTATTAAAGGTAGTCTAAGGATGCATTTATTGTTTTCTGGTGCTTGTTGCCATCTAACATGTACGCTAGAGGGTGAGATATGTCTCTCAATTCCCCAACTCTGTTTCTGTTGACTTACAGACTCTGATCCTGTCCCTGCCCATACTGTCATCTTCTGAGCCAGTCCCTCAAAGTTACCGAACAAGTTCTAAACAATGAAAAACACGAATTCAAGTGCCCCCAAAAAAATGCAGACACTGCACTGGTGAGAGATACACACCCCGACCCCTAAACAGCCTTTTATCAAGAATTTTCAGTTTCACTTCTGCTTTTTTGTTTTACCTCCAGGCAATACTCCAAGAATAGCAGCTGACGTTAGACCTCTTGCTTCTATATGAAGATCAGTCCTGCTGAAAAGCTCCCGGAGAGACTTGACACGCAACAAAGCATTCATGAAGGCAAAGGACGCATGGAGGCAAAATTGTGAGAATTATTTCCCCCAAATTTGTTAAATCAGCCCAAATCACTACTAGTTTCCATTGTGAACAAATGGATTCTATTATTGAGATAAATAAATAGTATTGATATATTGACACATCATGTACTTGCAGAATGCTAAAAAAACAACAACTTATGGTCACATTTATAAAGGAGATAATCTAACATTGCAGGTGAATCTTTCTTGTGCATGTGTTTTGCATGACAGTCATTGATTTTCCACCAAAGAAGGCTTGTTTCACCCCCTCCACCTTCCTCCTTGTTCTGTTCAGAAGGATAAATGAAGTTTTAACCTGAGAAGAGATTCTAAAAGGAACAAGTTTCTGCTGTGTCTTTGTCTTCAGCAAACCTCTAGTGCTTGGTTAAGTGCTTGGAGTCCTGAGTACTGGGTGCTCTCTGAAGTTGATATTTACTTCTGTAAATATTGCTCTTATGCAAAAGAAAAATATGTATATAGTTATATACATACTATATACAGTGTGTGTATGTATGTATATATATATA